CATCAATACTTCCAAACTCACATAATAATTAATCAGATATCAATGCTATATCAAACAATTTACGATATCTTAGAAAAAACGGAAGTAGCTATCTCATTTGCTAAAATCAATCAAAATAATCGATCCATTAGAGCTAATAAAAGAAATTTGTAGATTTAAAAAACAATTAGTGCATGACGTGTTACCATTAGAAGCCAATATTGATAACATATTGAACTACGAAAAAATAATCGAGATTAAAGGTTATTCAAAGGGCCTGATTATCACCTTCATCTTGGAAATACCATTGGTCGAATCGGATGTCTATCACTATTATCAATTATTTCCGATACCAATTCCAAGCGAACAAAATCCTGATTTCTTTATGAACTTTCCACACAAACCATACCTTGCACTTAGCAACAACAAGTACTCTTATATGGACCAAACCTGCAACCAATTATTCTTACCCAACGAGTACTTATGTAAAGAAGCCCATACTGCATACATTGATCATGAGCCTCCATGTGCAGTCCAATTGATTTTATACAAAGAAAATGCCACTACTTGCCACCCTTTCCGTATTAGACTACAAAATGTCCAAATCACTAAAATAACGGACGGAAAATGGATAATCACAACGCCCGAACAACTAATTGTCTCAGCATCTTGTCCAAATTCTAAGGACAACGTACCGCTTCATGGTTCCTACTTAGCCGAATCTACAAATGAATGCAGCTTACAAATAAAGTCAATTACTCTACGAACTTATAAGCCCAATCGTTTGACTTATGATGATGTATCCTTGCCTACACTGAATTTATCGATGAATTATTACCAAACAAAGGAGTTTGCTTTTAATCCACCTACACTTGACCTGAACTCCATCAACTTGAAGGAAACCAATGAAATTGCCACAACGCTTCAAGAACAGAAGAGACGACTACAAGAAATATCTAACCCAATGGAAATGTACCAAATAAATTTTTGGACAATTTTACTTTATTGTATTTTAGGAATACTATGCATTTTTACTGTCTATAAATTACTTTTGAAACATCGCCTTAAACGTGCCCAAAAAGCCTCGTTAGAAGACGATATTGTAATTTAACAATTTTACTTTTACTTATTTAGTTTAATCATATTTTTCTTTTAGCATTTTCTTTATTTTTTCCATTGTATAAAACCATACCTTTTTTGGTATGCTTTTAACTTAGGATGGAGGAGTTATATCCCGTGAGAACTCCAATTCAGCATTTATATTGTTCTATTCAGCTTATTTTTAATATTATAAAAGGAGTAATTTCTAGATTTAAGTCAGTTCTATTGTATTAGTCAAATAAAGTTTTTTAAAAACGCTCTCTCGTGTACACCCCTCGTAAGTCTTGTCTGTTGCCTACTTGTTATTCCAAATATTTATTATTGCGTGTACCTACACTTTAAGTCTACCTTTGTAAAAATGGCATGTCCGTAAATAAAGAATTTATTTATTTATTTATTATTGGTTAGGTGTTGTAGGTACTGTGAACTGATTTGTACACCTACTGTCAGGAGGTGTCGACCCCTCGCATCTAACATTTTATTTTTTTTTCTGGAAAACTGTTCAGTAGAAAATTATGATATTTTCTGGAAAAAAAAGGAAAGTCAGGGGCGTATCATAGTAAAATTTTAAATTTTTCCAGTGAAAAATAATCCCATTGGAAAATAATGAAAATCAACTAAATGGGCCACTTTCACATTTTTCAAAAACATTTTTAAATTATTCTTTTAGTCATTCTAATACTATCTGTATACTTTTTTTCCGAAAAAAACCGCTTATTTTTGAAAAAAAAATTATTTAAAAATCGAAATTTTAAACTGGTGTGAAAAAATGAACTTGGTGTGTGACGTCACACACCAGAAAATCAAGGATGCCAAATTTCTCATTAGTAAGTCATTACATATTTCACTAGCTAGAAACTATTTTCGTCCTTTACTACATTATAAAAAAATAAAGGATAGGTATAATCTTTATTAACTCATTTAAATTTCGCATTTCTACATGTGGCAACAAAAATGTCAAAATCGGCTTTAGCCAATCACAGAGCGTTTTCAATCACGTGATTTTTCGTTTAAATTTTTAGTTTTTATTTATTAATTTATTTAATAATCTGACTAAAATCTTTCAAAATATTGTTCATTCTTGGTTGCACTGATGTATCTGCGTCAAAAAATATTATAATTTGCCATATTCCCGGCACGTAAAAGTGGCCCATTAGGTATAAATGCACCATCTAACATTTTATTTTTTTTCTGGAAAACTGTTCAGTAGAAAATTATGACATTTTCTGGAAAAAAAAGAGGAAAGTCAGGGGCGTATCATAGTGAAATTTCAAATTTTTCAAATGGAAAATAACCTTATTGAAAATTAATGAAAATCAACTAAATTAGCCATAAATGCATCATCTAACATTTTATTTATTTTTCTGGAAAACTATTCAAGGGAAAATTATGACATTTTCTGGAAAAAAAGAAGATAGGAATAGAATTTTTCTAGTGGAAAATAACTTCATTGAAAATTAATGAAAATCAACTAAATTAGTCACCATCTAACATTCTGGAAAACTATCCAAAGAAAAATTATGAAGTTTTCTAGACAAAACGAGAAAAGTCAGGGGCGTATCATACTAAAATTTCAAATTTTTCCAGTGAAAAATAACCCCATTGGAAATTAATGAAAATCAACTAAATGAGACATAAATACACCATCTAACATTTTATTTTTTTTCTAGAAAACTATCCAGGGGAAAATCATGAAATTTTCTGGAAAAAAAAAGAAAAGTCAGGGGCGTATCATACTAAAATTTTAAAATTTTTCCAGTGAAAAATAACCCCATTGGAAATTAATGAAAATGAATTAAATTAGACATAAATGCACTATCTAACATTTTATTTTTTTCCAGGAAAACTGTCCAGGAGAAAATTAGGACATTTTCTGGAAAAAAAAGAGGAAAATCAGGGGCGTATCATAGTAAAATTTCAAATTTTTCCAGTGGAAAATAACCTCATTGGAAGTTAATGAATATCAACTAAATTAGGCATAAATGCACCATCTAACATTTTCTGGAAAACTATTTAAGGGAAAATTATGACATTTTCTGGAAAAAAAGAAGAAAATCAGGGACGTATCATATAATCCAGGAGGCAGTGAAATTTTTTAGCGCTTATTTTTCCAGTTGGTTTATATTGAATAGTTTGTTCTCTTGGTGATACCAAAACAAGAATATTTGAGTTTCGCAAAAATTTTCGGATGGGTTCAAAAGATCAATGAAAAATACAAGTATACTTATTTTCCCAGTCTTAAATATTTCACATTCACTACAATAGAACATAAAGTATATGAAAATAGCAATTTGGCTTTTCTTAGATAGTGAAAGTGAGTCTGGCAGAAAAATTTCGGATCTTCAATTTTTCACTTGCCAGACATATCGTCGCTTTTCTGACAAATGGGCGTAAGCGACAATATTTCTAAAATACAGATTATTCCATGAAAATATTACCATGGAGTACATTTATGATCTGACCAACTGGCGTATCTGTATAAGTAGTATTTTCCCAATTAGAACGTGGTTGGTATGGGCGGAAGCGACATCAAAAGTAACTGCAGGATCTTACTAAGAGGCGTATATCCCGAAAACGGATTTACGCCTTTTTGTCAGATTTCCAACGAAAAATGTTTGGCTGATGTGCCCCCGATGAGCTATAACTTCGCACCGGCAACCATGTAGCATAAATTCATACATAATCATTCCAGTTGCTTCCTGTGGTATTTACCCTGCAATGTTTTCTACATTTTTCTGTTGAAAGTGAATATATTAAGAGTTTGAGTGTGCCTTTTATTGCAGTAGTATCTGTATAGGTAAGTTATCAGTAGGTATAAATAAAAACAACATGAAAAAGATGGCACGCACCCTAAGAATACAAGGAACAGCATACGTGAGTCCCTTTTTGAAAAAGCAAGTTCCGCAAAGAATCATGAAGCCGCGATGTGATTCTCAAAAATGTAAAAATGAGGGCTGCAAGTTGTCTACTAAGGAAGAACAAGAGCGCCAGAAAATATTTCATGCTTTCTACAATACCAAGTCTCCAATTACAGAGGGAGCTCATTGTGTGCCATATCAATGAGAATGATGTTTACAGGAGAAGAACTGCTGCAACAGAGTCCAGAAGAACAAGGACTTTGGCTTATTGCTTACGAAAAGGCAGAGGATCTTTACCAGTTTGTGAAATTACGTTTCAGAACACACTGGCAGTTTCCGAAAAAGCAGTTCGGACGGCAATAAGTAAGAGAACGGTGGAAGGCAGAGTTTTGTTCGATAAACGTGTTGCATTGCGTTATAGAAATTCGACAAAAAGACGAAGTTATGAGATCCTCAGCACATACAAAAGTTTCCAAAAATGGAGTCGCACTTTTGTAGAAAATCGACTTTAAAAGAATATTTACACCCCGACTTAACGTGAAGAAAATGTTTAACTTGTACCAAGAAGAGAGCCTGGAGCAGCCAAAATGCAACTACCATACTTACCGTAGACTATTTGAATCACTGAATCTGTCCCCTGTCTTTCTACCATTCCAGGAAGGACCAATGCAGTCTTTGTTTGTCGTACAGGGAAGCTGATGCAAATAAAAAATTAGAGCTTCAAAGATGCATGCACTGCACATGTCGCCGAGAAAAACACTGCGCAAAAAGAAGGAGGATGCTAAGGAAATGTCCAAAAACAACCCTGATTTAATAGCTGCTGCTGTTTTTCACATGCAACACGTTATTCAGTTTCAGTTACCTATAAGTAACGAAAATGCATTCTTTTATCGTAGTCGTAGTGCTTCTCTTGGTCTGAAGTTATAAGTAAAAGGGTTGCCAATGAAATTTCTACATGCGTTGGCAGATATTTACGCAACTGTACAACCAAGAAATCAAAGAAGTAAGAAGTAAAACGCAGATGGTTGTGGTGGCCAGAATAAAAACACAATTGTTTTCACCATGTTATTACAAGCTGTCGCAAATTCAAAAAACATACGTGAAATTGTATTGTCTTTTTTCAAAACAAATCATGAGCAAAATGAAGGTGATTCCGCCCACGGTTCTATTGCAACAGCAATTCGGTCCGCGGGAAATATTTATATATCAGCACAGTTCCCCCCATCTTCAAACTCGCAAAAAAAAAAATGGCCATACACGGTTTTTGAAAAAATCCACTGTTTGGTGGCCTGTCTGTCACACAACCATATTTCCACCAGAAAGCACCTGATGACATTATTATCAAGAAACCTAATTTTTTTTATCATAGTTACGATTATTATCACCTATTGTTATTATTCGTTTGTTTAAAAAAAATAATTGTTTTGTATTGTAAAATAATTTTGCATACACGCAGAAACTTCTGTGGAAGAATAAATTATTATTTATGAAATTACGAGAACAGAAATTTATTTAAGCAGTCCATTACACGATACATGGTCCTTCGAGCCGGATACTAGGCGAAAATACGACGAAGAAATACGAAAAATCATTGAAAATACGACGAAGAAATACGAAAAATCATTGAAAGTCATTGGAGAGACTTGTGGTGAAGTTCAGCAAATAAAAAATCGTGTGCAGTTGCAAGATATACCCTCAGTCAGAACTAAAAAGTGGGGCAGGGTGAGTCCTATCTTCCTTTATTCCCGTTTTCTCAATTTTTCATGCGAATAAATAAAGATTTCTATTTGTTTAATCATTATAGAAACTCAGTACATCAATAATTACCGACAGTATCTACACATTTTGAATATTATTATTATAATCATTAATTCGATTTCTTTATTGTGGTTTGAGCTCTTTGCCATGTGAGGTTTATTTGAAGATTTTCATTGTTGGTATAATTTACATTTTTCATTTATTATCATGTCTGAAAACGAATCTGAAAGTTCATTTCAACTAAAAGCCTTAATAAGAAAACGGGCAACTATTAAATCAAAATTGACCAATTTCGAGAAGTTTATTAGATCTGTTGAAAGCGTGCAGGAAGCTGCAGGTTCCCAGACTTTAGATCGTAGTAAAATAATTGAGTTGAACGAACGAACTCAAGATTTTGAGCCCTTACGTTCCAACTTTGATGACGTTCAGACCGAAATAGAATTTACTGTCGCCATTTCTGATCTTACAGCTGAAGAACTGAAACGCGAAGAGTTCATGAATAAGTATTTTGAAGTATTAAGACGAGCAAAGGCAATAATCGAACAATTTGAATCATCTTCGGAGATAGGTAGTGTGAGAGAAAGTAATGTGAATAATTCCGTAGTCTTGTTACCTCAGAGAGTGGCAGGAATTCCAATTCAAAATCAGGCTTCTGAAACAAGCAATTTGGAGGGTATTAAGCTTCCAGAAATTAAATTACCCAAATTTGACGGCTCCTTTCAAACGTGGTTAGAATTTCGTGACATTTTCGAATCTTTGATACATGACAATTCAAATTTGAGCAGCATTCAAAAATTTCATTACCTTAGAGCTTCTTTAACTGGTTCCGCCACACAGGTAATTCAAGCAATTGAATTTTCTTCCACAAATTATAAAATAGCATGGGATACTTTGTGTGAACGTTTTAATAATTCGAATCTTTTAATTCAGAACCATATCAATGCTATATTTAATATGAGTTTGATTCAAAACGAATCAGCTTCTAAAATTCGTGATTTAAGCGATGTTCTTTTTAAACATTTGGCAAGTCTTACTCAACTAGGGGAACCAACTGTTCATTGGGACACCCTTATCATTTATATCATTTCTAGCAAATTAGACAAAGCGACTGCTCATGAATGGGAAAGATTAAAAGCTAAAAAAACCAACAAAATAACTTTAGAATTTTTTAAACGATTTTTAAAAGAGCGTGCAGACTTATTAGAAAATTTAGAGAATAATTTTGAGCAAAATCGGACTGAAACAAAAAATTCAGTGCGTGGTCAGCGGTGTACCACTCGTGGTTTATACGGGGGTACCTCTAATAATTTCGAAGAAATTAATAAATCAAATGAATACGGTGATAGGCCAAAACGCATATGTTTTCTCTGTAAAAAAGACCACAATTTGTTTTATTGTCCGGAATTTTTGAAAATGTCTGTGAATGCGCGTATCACAAAGGTGAAAGAGCTACGTTGTAGTTGTGTTTGCGCCGAAATCACTTGGCGAAAGATTGTAAGTGGTCGGGTTGCAAGCAGTGCGGATTTAAACATAATACGATATTGCATATTACTAAAGAGAAAAATCACAGCGCACTTGTGGCAGCTGCATCTCAAAACTCGGAAAATTCAGAAAGTTTCAATAATACCTTAATGATAACAAATTGTAATTTTGTAGCACCCCGAAATGCAATTCTAAGTACAGCAAAGGTCCAAATTCGTGATTCAATCGGAAATTTCATAATAGCTCGAGCGCTTCTTGATTGTGGATCACAGTCTAGTTTCATGACTTCCAATCTTTGCCAAAAACTAAAATTATCGAAGCTAAAAACAGATTTAACTATAACCGGAATAAACGATAAAATTTCACACGTTGTACATAAATGTCATTTAGAAATACGTTCAATCACGAATCCATTCAGTTTTAATTTAACTTGCTTTGTTTTAGATAAAATCACTAATGATTTACCAGACGTTACTATCAATAGCCAAGCTCTTCGAATTCCTATGCATTTGCAATTGGCAGATCCGGAATTTGATAGCATGGGACAAATCGATCTATTAATCGGAGCTGATGCTTTTTGGAAACTTTTAAGCGTAGGAAAACTTAACCTAGGTACCGACGGACCTATCCTTCAAAATACTCACCTTGGTTGGGTAGTTGCCGGACCTATGAATATGCCTAATATTCACACAATATGCAATTTTAGCAAAAATACTGAATTACATGATGCAATCGTAAAATTTTGGGAGGTGGAGGAGATTTCTGTAAAAAAGCCTTTATCAGCCGAGGAAGCCCTTTGCGAAAAACACTTCGTGGATAATTTAACTTATTCGCCCGAAGGTAGATATATAGTTTCACTTCCCTTAAAAGATTCACCTAAAAAACTCGGAAATTCACGCGACGTTGCAATAAAGCGGTTTGTTAATCTTGAAAGAAAGTTAAATTTAAACAAAACTTTGCGAACTTCTTACGTCGACTTTTTGCACGAATACGAACAGCTTGGTCATATGAGTCAAGTCGAGGATGATGAAATTGGTGATGGCGAACCAGAATATTTTTTACCGCATCACGGTGTTTTAAGGGAATCCAGTTCGACCACTAAACTCCGCGTAGTTTTCAACGCCTCATCACCATCCTAATCGGGACTCTCACTTAACAATTTACAAATTACAGGTCCCATAATACAATCCGATTTATTATCAATCATTCTACGATTTCGTATTCGAAAAATTGTTTTATCAGCGGACATCAAAATGATGTATCGTCAAGTTTTGATTAACCCAGAGCAGCGCCCTTTACAAAAGATCGTTTGGCGAAGTAACGCTGATGAACCAATTAAAACATTTCAACTCAATACGGTGACGTACGGAACCACCGCGGGTTCTTTCTTAGCCATACGTTCCTTGCATGAGGTAGCGAATGAATGTGTAGACGAATATCCGGATATCGCAAATATAATTAAAAGGGACATGTATGTAGATGATTTGCTTACTTGCGTGGACACCTTTGAAGAAGCGCAATATATTTCAAAAAAATTGTCTGAAATTTTTATCAAGCGTGGATTTGAACTACGAAAGTGGAAGTCTAATGATTTGCAAGTTATTAGCTCAAGTTTGGATATGTCAAACAATACCCTTGAATTCTCTATAAACAAAGAATCCGAATCTAAAATTTTAGGTCTATTGTGGGTGAGTGACCAAGATATTCTTACTTATAAAATATTCCCTTTCAAAGAAACAAACCCTGAAAAAATTACCAAGCGAATCATATCTCGAATAGCGAGTATTTTCGATCCTTTGGGTTTGGTAAGCCCATGCATAATCACAGCTAAGGTTTTGCTTCAAAAATTATGGCCGGAAAATGTATCATGGGATGAGTCTTTGCCGATTAATGTTTTGAAATTATGGTTAGAGTTTTCATCTACTTGGGATATTTTAAATACGATTGTTATTCCACGTCAAGTTACTTGTTTTCTACCAATTTATATTACATTACACGGATTTTCAGATGCTTCTGAATCGAGTTATGGTGCATGCGTTTATATGTTATCAAGAAATTAAAAAGGAGAAAGCGAATCCCATTTGTTGTGCGCAAAATCCAAAGTAGCACCTCTAAAGTCGTTAACGATGCCTCGACTTGAATTGTGCGCAGCACTCGTTTTATCTCAATTAATTTCAAAGGTTTTGGAATCTATTTCAATAACGGTGGACGAGATTTATTGTTGGTCTGATTCTACTATAGTCTTGGGTTGGTTGCAGACATCTCCTAGTTTATTGAAGCCTTTTGTAGATAATCGAGTCGCTGAAATTCAAAAACTCACAAGTTCATTTACCTGGAAGCACGTACCTACGAAGGATAATCCTGCGGATCTGGTATCGCGTGGTGTTAGTCCTAAAGTTTTGATAAATTCAAATATTTGGTGGCAAGGCCCCACTTGGTTGCAAAGCGAAAAAAACTATTGGCCTGATAATCAAAATTACATAAAGGAATTACCCGAATTGCGTAAAATTTCATTGCTTGTAACTCCGCCTAAAAGTTATTTTCCATTTGAAGAATTTTCGAATTTGAATAAATTAAAACGATGTGTGGCTTTTATGTATAGATTTTATGAAAATTCTAAAAATCCTGCCAATGCGAGAAATTTTGCACCTCTTTCATTGTCAGAATTAAATTTCTCTTTTCACAAATTGATCAAAATTTCCCAGCTAGAATGTTTTTCTGAGGAACTCAAAGCATTAAATGCTAAAGGTGAAGTTTCATCTAATAGTAAAATTCTTAGTTTACGCCCATTTTTAGATAACGAAGGATTAATCAGAGTTGGTGGAAGATTAACCAATTCCAGTTATTCTTATTGCAAGAAACACCCAATAATAATATTCCCACATCATCCTCTCACAAAACTAATCATGGAATTTGAGCACAAAAATTTATTGCATGCTGGCCCTCAGTTACTTTTATCTCATGTACGTGAAGAATTTTGGCCAATTTCTGGACGTGATTTAGCACGTAAAATCGTTAAAAATTGCGTAATATGCTCTAGATATAATCCAAGCAATATTCAGCCTGTCATGGGAGACTTGCCTGAAGCAAGAGTACAACCTTCGCTTCCCTTTGATAAAGTTGGTGTTGATTATGCCGGCCCTTTTTTAGTTAAAGATCGTCGCGGTCGTGGATGCAAACTTATAAAATGTTGGATTGCTGAGTTCGTTTGTTTCAGTACTCGCGCGATTCATTTGGAGTTGGTTTTATCTTTGAGCGCTGATGACTTCTTGCAGTCTTTCAACAGATTCATAAGTCGTCGTGGAAAGCCGTCAGAGGTATTCTCCGACAATGGAACGAATTTTATTAAGGCTAATAAAGAATTAATAGCTATGGGTAAATTTTTACAAGAAAATAATATTTTAATTTCAGATTCTGTAAATAACTTAGGTATTAAATGGCATTTTATACCCACTAATTCTCCCCATTTCGGAGGAATTTGGGAGGCTGGTATAAAGAGTCTCAAATACCACCTAAAGCGAGTAATCGGATCTTATACACTATTTTCTTTTGATTTTTACACTTTATTAGTTCGCATTGAAGCTGTCCTAAACTCTCGTCCGCTTTGCCCTTTAAGTTCTCATCTTGATGATTTATCCTCCCTATCCCCTGCCCACTTTTTGATTGGAAAACGTCTGACTACTGTTGCTGAACCTTCAGTGATCGCCTTTCCAGAAAATCGTCTTTCACAATTTCAATTACTTCAGAAGATTCACGAACAATTTTGGAATCGTTGGCATCGAGAATACATCTCTGAGTTACAAGAAAGAACGAAATGGAAGAAGACTAGTGGTAACCTTAAAGTTGCACAATTGGTTCTCGTAAAAGACAACAATTTGCCACCTATGAAATGGCGTTTGGGACGCGTAGAAAATCTTATCAGCGGCAATGATGGTGTTTGTCGTGTGGCCTCAGTCAAAACAATGGATGGAATTATTACTAGAGCGGTTGTAAGACTTTGTCCGCTTCCAGTTGAAAGTTAACTCTTTCAAGGCCGGGGGCATGTTTGGTGGCCTGTCACACAACCATATTTCCACCAGAAAGCACCTGATGACATTATTATCAAGAAACCTAATTTTTTTTATCATAGTTACGATTATTATCACCTATTGTTATTATTCGTTTGTTTAAAAAAAATAATTGTTTTGTATTGTAAAATAATTTTGCATACACGCAGAAACTTTTGTGGAAGAATAAATTATTATTTATGAAATTACGAGAACAGAAATTTATTTAAGCAGTCCATTACACGATACATCCACTTTTGTGTGACCAGAAAACTGGACTCTGGTGAAAATATCGATTGGACCAAAATTAAGGAAGTAATGGTAAACAAAGATGACATCACTATAGTAAATATTTAAAAAACTCACCATGATGCTGAATATCAGAAACTGCCACTACCAAGACTACCATCTGATGTGCTTCAAAAACCTACCCAAATCAAACAGTGGCCAGATAAAACTCCCAGCAAATAAATACAAAGATTTTTCTTTTTTACGATAAAGTTGTTTATTTTATTTCCTATGATTTACAGGGACTTTTTTTTCAATGTTAACTTTTGTTTTATCGTTATAAAGTGGGATTTTTTTTTTGTTCTTTACCACAGATTATTACTGATGTTTTGTTAAGTGCAGTACTAGGCATAAGTACGCTAAAGTTACTTTAACATTTGTTTCCCTCTAGTAAAAATGAAAGTAACAAACTATAACACCAATAAACAATGGCTCTCATTAGGTATACGTACTTCCTCAAAAAATCTGAAAAAACTTTTTTATAAACAACTAAAAGGAGAACTCTCTCCAGAATTTTACAAACAGTATAAAAATATTTACAGAAGAACTTTAAAGCTAGCTAAACGTATGTATTATGATAACAAGTTGTCCTTATCCACAAACAAATCAAAAACCGTCTGGGACATTATAAATTCTACAACAAAAAGTCAGAAGAAAGTTGAAATTGAAAGTATTATCTGTAATGATATTGAATACAAAAATCCTAGTCAAATTGCAAACCTCTTTAATTCCTTTTTCATTAATATACCCTTGAAAATCCAAGAAAATCAGAATATAAATAGAATACCCCAGCACAATGTTGTATCTAGGATTGAGAGTACCATTTTCTTACACGATGTTTCAGAGACTGAAATGATGCAAGCAATTAATAATTTAAAAAATACAAACTCAACCGGCCCTGATGAATTCTCATCATCTTTAATTAAAAGCTGTAAAGATCAACTATGTAAACCCCTTTGCTCTCTTCTAAACTTGTGTTTTTCAGAGGCAACATTTCCAGACTGTTTGAAAGTATCTAAAGTTATCTGCTTGCATAAAAAAGATAATACAAATGATATGGGAAACTATCGCCCTATATCGCTTTTATCAACATTCTCAAAAATATTTGAAAAAATTATATCTAAACGCATTTTAAACTTTTTAAATTCAAATAATCTAATATCAAATACCCAGCATGGTTTCCGCGACAAAAGATCGACTATTTCTGCACTATGTTATATTTTAGATAATGTCTATAAAAATCTAGACAAAAGCAAGAAAGTTATGGCACTATTTGTGGACTTAACTAAAGCTTTTGACTGTGTGGACCACGGCCTGCTTTTACAAAAACTTCAATCCTACGGAATTCGTGGTAACTGTTACTCATTATTAAAATCATATCTCTGTAATCGTAAACAATATGTGCAATGTAATGGAGCTATGTCTGACCAGTTAAATGTTGAGGTTGGTGTACCACAGGGTAGTGTTCTTGGTCCCCTCCTATTTCTCATGTACGTGAATGATATATCGGATATCTTAACAACTTTGCATTGTGAATTTGCTGATGATATTAGACTTTTATCTTCTGATCTCAATGAACAAATTATGAAAAAGGGTTTGACAGATAACCTGCATTTTTTATCTAATTATTTTTGTAATAATAAACTGGTGCTTAACCAGGCAAAGACTTACACAATGCAATTTCATCCTTATGAGGCAAATTACAATAAAAGTCAATACATTCTCTTGAATGGCAGATCAATAAGGCAGGTTAATACTGTGAAACTTTTGGGTATCCATGTTGACATGTCATTAAACTGGAGAGAGCAGATAAATTATGTATGCAATAAGTGTGCAAAGAGTTGTTTTGCTTTATGTCGTCTGTCTCAAATAACAAGTAGAAGCACTGTAAGAATGTTTTATTTTTCAGTTATTGAATCATGTATTAGATATGGGATTGTGCTTTGGGGTGCAACCTCTGCTTCACAGAGAGTCTTTATAATGCAAAAAAGGGCTATTCGATTAATGTATAATATGAAGTTTAGGGAATCTTGTAGACAAAAATTTATTTCTGAAAAAATCATGACTATGCCTTGTTTATACATTTTCGAAATCTTGAAATTTGTAAGGGATAACTCAAATGCTTTTAAGGCTCTAAATCTGCATCATGATTACACAACTAGATTTGGACTTGATTATCAATATGACGTTCATCGTCTTGAGCTTTACAAAGCAAATCCTTACTACATAGGGGCTATTTTGTATAACAAGATACCTATTAGCAAACGTCAATTAAATCAGAATGAGTTCTTATGTTTTATTAAAAATATTTTATTGGAAAATGCATTCTATACAGTGGGGGAGTTTCTAAACTTTACGCAGTGGAAGATATGAAAGAATACTTCATAAAAATTGTAATAGGTATATTATTTGATTATTCTTATGCTTATTGTTATAAATAGGTATTTAATTATTTATAATGTTACGTTATTGATTAGTATGTAATGCAAATTTTATCTGTAAATATTTTCCTATATCCTGTATGTGATCCTTGGAAATAAACATCTATCTATCTATCTATCTAATAATAATATTCAGATCCCACGAAGGGACGTATGTCCATCTAAGTCATATTTTATCATGTTCACCTGAAATTTATTAAATTCGAATAGTACTTGGAAAAAGTATGTTTATTAATCTTTCTATATGAAATATTTATCACTGGAACTGCCTTTCAAATAACAGAAACACGGAACCATGTATATGGTACATTTTTTTAAAATTGCTTTTCTGACAAATGATGTTTATGGTGCTTACGCCCGTTTGTCAGATAAGCGACGAATATTATCCATACTCACAGATTAGCCGGACTATTTTTTTACGTAACTTCAGTATGCTTTTCATTAGTAGACCTGTTTTTATCACTGAGAAAAAAAAGGGCCGTGCATTGGTAAGCTTTAACGCATTTTGCGCCTCAACCCATCGGAACCCCCCCCCCCCCCCTAAAAATATATGTATTTTGCTTAGAATTACTAACCCTACAATTCTATCCATGTTTTCTGACTGGGAAAATAAGTACCGAAAATCGTCACTGCCTCCTAGACTATTAGTAAAGTTTCAATTTTTTTTCAGTGGAAAATAATCCCATTGGAAATTAATGAAAATCAACTAAATGAGGCATAAATGCACCATCCAACATTTTATTTTTCTTCTGGAAAACTATTCAGGGGAAAATTATGACATTTTCTGGAGAAAAAGAGAAAAGTCAGGGGCGCATCACACTAAAATTTCAAATTTTCCCCGTGAAAAACAACAAAATTAAAAATAATTTTAAAAATTAAATAGGGGGGTGCGTTCGATAACATCTTTTTTGGTATAAAAAAAGGATCCGCTCAGGAAAATCAATAAAATTGACAATTGACAGTGTAAACCCAGTTACCTAAAAAACACTAAACTAACACTTTTGACAGTTGACATTTAAAATGTCAACTGTCAAAAAAAAACATGCTCTATCAATACTAAAACGACAGAGTCTCTCCGGCTAAAAAAAAAAAAAGTGACTAGACATAAGGGCTTGCACGCCAACAAAATAGGTTTAGGAAAATAGAGATTATTTTCCAGTAAAAAACTAAATAATTTTTTATGGTATTGTAGGCGTACTATAATGACCTTTGATAGTACATAGTACATAACCATTCAATTATAGTACAAATACTATAATTATAGTACGGTTGGCAAACACTGACTCTTGAAAAGATCCAGAAAAAACATGACATTGTATAAATGACAATAACAATAATTTCCTATTTTTTTCAGGTATACAGAACTGTTCAAAACACATGTGGATTATATGGAACGTACCAAACTGCTCCACTCAGGCCAACAGCTAGTCAACGACAGAGCCGAAGCGGCAGGACGTTTAAATTCCAACAGATTGAATATAGGACGAAGTTCGGGGCCAATGTCCTTTGGTTTTGCCAGTTTAGAAAATGCGGAAAATGTTGACAGCGAACCATCTTCTCCTATTAGTAGTGCTCATTCTTCACCAAGGTAACAATTCCTAAGTTATTATATAAATTTTATTAATGATAATGAATCAGTAGTGATATGGACAATATGAAACACAGGCCAGTTTTAAAAGTGGAACGTGCCCAAGAAACTGACTTGATCAGCTTGGAAAATAAAAGCGTCGTAACATCACCGATGAGTCCACCCAATAACAACAGTCAGCAGAGTGGTGGAAGGTTGCATACGAAAAAAGAACAGAGAAGCGGTAATACGCTGTATCAAGAGTTGAGTTTCCAGGATGCTGACGGTGAAGAGGATACAAACGATATTACAGGAGGCTGGGTTCATCCAGGTGAATACGCATCGTCGGGTAAGGGCTTTGTATATTTTTGCATGGGGCTAATAATTAATCTTATTTTCCTGCTTCCGATTAACCCAATTGACAGTCAACGACAATTTTTACGGTAAGTAAATGCTTGCTCTAATAATTTAATTCAGTCAATGTAAATCTACTCATTATGAACCCTGAGCAATTCTAACTTTATTCTCAATGGACTTTGAAAAGTATGTTTGTAGATTTCTTGTTACAGTAACTCTTTGTATTCTACCTGTGATATATGATTTCCAAAGATTTAGTGCATTTCCCCTGACACCGTATCTTTCCAGTTTTTCCAGAAGTAGGTTTGGATTAACACAGTCTTTGTTTTTGACAGATCCAAATAGATACCAGATACCCATGGCTAAATTACCATTTTCTAGCCGTCTAAGATTTTCTTTGTTAATTTGAAGATTGCACTTTGTGTGGATCTGCCTGGCATATATCCGTGCTGATTTCGATTTTTGATCAAAATATTGTCACAAGCCTATTTCGCTGTAACGGGGGTTTGGGATCTTTTGGGGTTTTAATGAATTAAAACAATAAGTCCCAAGGCATTAAAAATAATTAAGTTTATTTACTACAACTAAAAGATTAATTAACCAACCGATGAGAACATTGAGAAGCGCCCAAATTTAGATTTTCAACTGACTTAAAATTGACGCCTCATCGATTCAGAAATGTCAGCAAAAATTGTTGGCCTAAAACCTGGGTCGTTGGCTCTAAGCTTTTTGCTAACATTTTGATGCGTTTGCTTTATTCAATACAACATCCGTATTGCCCAACTAAATTGGGATATTACTTGTCAATGAACTTTGGTTATTTCGTATTGAAATAATAATGTTGTAAAGGGTGATATTTTTTAGCTTGACAATATTACATTGAGAAAGTTTAACAATTGTTGATACATGGCCAATTCGAAAAATTTTGAGAAGCCTGGTAACAAACTTATCGGTCTATAGTTTTCATATAATTGGGGATTCCCTTTTTTCAGTAGTGGTTTTATGATTGCTTCGAATCTGTCTGGAAAACTACCATGCCTGAAGAAACTATTCATGATATAAGTTAATATTTCTTTTATAACTGGAATTACCGTTTTTAGAATACTAGTTGGTATCTCATCTATTCCACTGCTGTGCCTATTTTTAATTTTTTTAGCAAATTAGCATATTTCTTTTGGCGATACTAGTTTTAAAAGCATAGACTGATTATTTTCCGGTATTTTGCAATTCACTATAGTTGAAGTTGGACCAATGGACCTTTCTCATTTTACCTGTGCTGCGCGCGCCGCTTGTGGGTGACAGATAATTAAATTGTCCATTTACTGAACGCGGTCTGACCCTGACGTATTTCAGCTAAGTGAGCTAACCTCAATAATCAATCAATATCAATCAGTATTGCTGAAAATTATTACTAAAACTGTTTATGATACAATGGTTCAAATGTGTTGTATAAGATCTTGTTAGAATAAGGCGAAAAAGAAGTCAAACCTTTCTTTTCACACACACAAGAAAACAATGATTATGTGCTCTCAACCCGAATGAAGACGACTTAAGTTGGGACAGAGATTTGAGGGTTCGTAAAATAACGATTTCTATATCAAATACAATAATAATTGTACAATTAAAGGTTTGCTGCAAACATTTTTGTCCAACGGTGGGTTTTTTTTCTAATTAATTTTAATACATGTTTGTCATATTTACGTTTAAAAATAAACAAAAACAGAAACATAACCGAAATTGCACAATTTGACAAGTTGTACCAATCAAAGTCATTCCACACAGGTATCGCGCGTCATTATATGTGTCTCTTTCTTTATTGCAGAAATCCTACTAAACTATCCTTGTTGTTCATTGCATGAGAAAGGTCCATTACAACCTATCAAATGTCCTCCGTGCATGAGCACTAGTCCAGGTAGCACGTGACTTTGACAAGCAAGCAAAGGGTTTGCACAGTTTTTGTGTGCCTCTTGGTGGACATTTTAATTTAAGTTTGACAGCACCTTGAATAGTCAGTCTATTTTAGACACGTCACTTTGACAAGCAAACAAAGGGTTTGTGTGCCTCTTGGCGTACATTTTAATTTAAGTTTGACAGCATCTTGGCTAGTCCAATGAACTATAGCTAAAAACTGGAATGCGCACACATTGCCATATCTGCCAAAAAAATTAAGCCATGAAAGACAGATGCCACAAGGGGGAATCACAGAATACATATCCTCACGGATAGAAGGCAAACTGCCTAATAAAATTTTGGGGAACAATGCGCCGTCACGGCGCGGTGGATGCGATCTGAACTATTTATAATGAAGGTTTCTGTAATCAAATCAGCTTTCAAAATAGTTCTTTCAATGTCAATTTTCAATATAATGGCGTTTCCGATTGGTAGATCTAGTGCGGAACTAGTGCAATTTTTTCTATCTCTGTCTTTTTCTTCTACAGGTCGATTAAAGGGATGCAAATACACTCAGTGCGCACTGAATCTACCAATCGGAAACGCCATAAGATTTGTTCGGATTTCAGTTCAGAATTGAACTACGCTTTCGCATTTCTTTATATAGGTTTGATATGAACAAATGCGCAAGCGCAGTCCAGTTTAGAACTGATTTTGAACTGAAGTTCAAACAAACCTTTTTCCTCATTATTGAATATTGACGGATTTTTCTTCCGAGTAGAGCAAAAACGGCCAAACTTCTTGTGTTTTGTGTAAAATCTGATTTTTTTTTTGAATTTAGGAAACATTTATCTGGATTTAAAATGCACACCAACACCAAGACGAATTCTCATTCAGAACTATTTTGACATATTTTTTTTAAACATAGGTAACAGGTAAACTGCTAAAGTAAACTGTGACATATTTTCTGGTGGCATTCATTCCGCACCTGTAGTTCTGTTTCACTCCAGCGTCCCCAAGCGGATGCGATCCGAAGCTTTTTTTTTAGGCCCCGCCCTCCATTAAGCTTTTTTTTCTATCCGTGAGGATATGTGTTCTGTGGGGGGAATGTTGTTTTTTTCTGTTGCTCGCTGACATATGACGTTTTCGAAAGTTTTGTCATATTTCCCTTCACAGGTTTCATCAATTGGAATACGTGTTGGAAGCAATTTTCCCCATTTAACATAATGAGTACGACAAAAACAGGTATCCCCTCCGCAGCAGCCGCACTAGGCTTCAAGTTCGTCCTTATGTGTTAGCATTCCAGTTTTTGGTTATAGTTCATTGGGCTAGTCTAATAGGAAGACTGGTCCACTTAAGTTTAAAATGCATTTTAAATTTCGACGTTGACATTTATGTGAACGGCTTTCACATGAAAATGTTAGTCATTTATTAGTTGATATTTGCATAGAATTCTACTAGTTCAAAATTATTCTTATTGGACCAAGATGCAAAACTAGTCAGTTTCACAAATGGGCCATATTATCTTCCCGTTCTGGTTATATGGCCTATACTTGAAATTCCATAGAAATACAAATTGTTTTATCTATAAGCGTTTGGTTATGATGTTTTTACATAACCATTTTACTAGTATTCGAATTACGTCATGAGACTCATAACACAACTAGTGGTGTTATGGACGAGGTTATGAGTCTATAACACAACGATTTTTGGTGATTTGATAAATGTCAAAGGTAAACCTGTAAAGGTAAAATGAAGGTAGACAACTATTAATGAACGAAAATAATTGGAAAAATATTCTTACTTTTCGCTTTGTAGATAAAACGTTGTACATCACACGTGCGTTTAAACATGACTACAAAACTCGTGTGATTAGAACGACTCGGTCTACGACCTCGTTGTTCTAATCCTTCACACTCGTTATTGGAATCATGTTCATAAACGCACTTATAATGTAAATAACTATTAATAAACTTGAAACTGGTCATGCAAATACAGGGTGTCCCACGGTGGATGGCGTATTAAGCCGGGCTCAAACGACTCGTGTACTTGGCGAATGATCGTTACTTGCGTATACTTGCCATGTCGTGTGAGTGGGTTACTTGTATAATTATTTGTCACTCGTTGGTTTTCCATTTCTTGTCGGTAAAAATGTCCCGAGTCAAAGGGATCACGATTATTCGTACACTTGCCAAGTTCATACTTGTCTATATTTGTAGAGGCACTCAAACGAAATGCACAAATAATTGGCTTTTACTGCGACTATTTCATTTAGTTTTCGACTAGCAGAAGCGTAGTACAGAGGTTTTGTTTGTTTTATCTTTAAAAATTGAAATGGAGTGGACAAATGACATAATAATAATACAGTGTGTCCCGCTTAAGGACTGACCACCCTTCTAAAATTTTTAATTTTCAACCGATTCAATTCATTTTTTTTTGTTTTATATCTACTCGAATTTGACACTTACTTGGCTCATAATTTAATTTCTGCGGCTGTACTAGTGTTCAGGGTGTCCGCATTTATAGGCTCAAATTTCAATAAGTACTATTAGGGATTTTTTTAGTAAAAATCTGATAGCAGATTCTTGTTTAGAATGGTCTAAAACCCAAATGTACTAATTTTTATGTCGATACGATATAGGGTGATCACAACAAATTTTCCCAATTTAATGAATCAAACTGCAAAAATGTTATATGTTGAGACAAGCTTACTACAAGTTTTGGTTAAGAATGTTCTAAAACTATGTTATATCAAGTTTTGTTGTTCTCAAGGCCTCAAAATATGATATTTTTCCGGTTTGGTCCATTAAATTTTGAAAATTTGTTGCGATCACCCTGTATGATATTGAAACAAAAAATAGTACATTCGGGTTTTAGACCATTCTTAACAAGAATCTGCTATCAGATTTTTTCTAAAAAAATCCCTAATAGTACTAATTGAAATTTGAGCCTATAAATGTGGACACCCTGTACACCAGTACAACCGCAGAAATAAAATTATGGGCCAAATAAGTGCCAAAATCGAGTAGCTTTAAGACAAAAAAAAATGAATTGAATCGGTTAAAAAATAAAAATTTTAGAAGGGTGGTCAGTCCTTAAGCGGGACACACTGTATATTACGAAATTTTTTTTACAGATCACTTACAGTAAAATTATGTTCAATTTTTTTACATATTTTATACTTAGAAAGTTTGAA